TAAAGCTTTTAGTCTACCATCCCATCATTCAAGGGTGGTTTTCACTATAAGTAATTATTTTTGGACGGACACAATCATTTACATTTTGTTACTGTGTGGACTACCTATGTTGCAAATGTATTATCTTTTCAATTTACACACGGCATCTATTGCACGTCTGTCCGTCCTGGGAGAGGGATCCCTCCTCTGTTGCTCTCCCTGAGGTTTCTCCCATTTTTCCCTTTAAACTGTGGGTTTTCTCCGGAAGTTTTTCCTTGTACGATGTGAGGGTCTAAGGACAGAGGGTGTCGTATTGTCATACTGATATTTTGTACAAACTGTGAAGTCCACTGAGACAAATGTAACATTTGTGATATTGGGCTATATAAATAAACATTGATTGATTGATTGATTGATTGACTGTGTTCAATCTGAATTAGCTTTAAAATAAAAACATCTATATTGATTCTGACACTTCTAAATTCAACTCACAGGTGTAACCTTGCTTTGAGAAAAAATATTATTAATTTAACCCTTTTAGAAGGGACGATATGGTCATTTGTTCTGGGAATGTCATTTTCGAGCCTGAGACCTGAAAAACAGGCTCGGGGGTTTTAAGATCTAAAATATTCTTCATTCAGGATTTGTTTGGGATGCCTCTTGGAATACACAACTGCCTTGGTAAGATATTTTTTAATTTTAAATTATTATTATGCTTACATATAAATTGCCTTTCAGTCTGTGATTGATTTTGAGCGGCTTTAATCTCTGTGTTGAAAAAATAAATCTGCAGAAAACACATACTTGTCCTGAAAATTAAGGCCTTTTCCCTTTTTTGTACAAATTCATATATGAAATTCATGTAATTAATTCAGAAGTTGAGATAACCATTTCTGATAAGAGAGTAGCCTTAATAATATGCATTACAGAACAAAATAACTGTTCTTTTAAAAAAAGCATTATAAATAGAACTTTTATTCAGTTTGTAAGAGCACTCTGAAAAATCCAATATCTAGTAGGACTTGAATTATTAAATCTGCCCCATTCACAGCCGAGATGTGGATCATGCAAAGCTGCGGCTCAAAAACGATTTTCTAAATGCACTTCATTATCATCTAATTCCGAAACCATGGGCATTCATATGCATTAATATGCTACTCTTCTGAGTGGGTTCTCCTCCAGGCTGCAGGGATTTGCTACTATTCAGCCACAAGAACATCATCCTCATCATCATCATCATCATCAAAATGTTTGCAAACCCAGCACTATTCAAAGGTGTGGAATGGGGTTGAGGTCAGGGCTCTAACTGACTTTGTGCATGGGGTATAGGCTTGCTTAAACAACCCTCTGGAGTCTAGGGTTAGGGTTAGGTATTTTCTCGATTTTTAGATGTTTTCTTAAATCACCTTTTAAATGTATTTCTTCTAAAATGGCACCCATGTGTTACATATCAAAATGTTCAGGACAATCTCTAGTATTGCTATATATGCAAATTACTCACCTTAGAGCACTGTTTGATGAGATAAGTAGCTCAAAAGCTTAAAATTTGACATCCGATTTTCGGAAAATCTTCAAAACTCTTGTGAAAACACCAATTTACTCATGTGATCGAATTGTTTTGGTGTTTTAGATTTGGTTACCAAAGTCTTAGGATTACAAAAGTAGTGAAATATTTGAATTACACTGTATATAAATGTGTTATTCATGTCTAAAATGAAATTTTATAAATTCGCATTCTGAGTAAAACAGCTGTCAATCACTCTACTTTCACCACAGCAGGGACTGAGATATATCAGGACTGAATAATGACTTCATATTACATACCAAGGTTCATGTGATGTGTAAAAAAAAAAGAATTGAGCATTAGAACTTTTCAACCATTTATTATATTACCAACAATGTATATAAATATAACTGCAAAATCTCACTATTTACAATATTGAACATCAGAACTTTTTTTCCTTCAACCAACTATTCATTATACACTGACAAAATGATCCTTCCTCCAGTAGTCCAATACATTGTCCAGTTTCAGCAGCCCCATGTATTTATAGAAATCCTCTACAGTCAAGTCAGTCCATTTGTAGGTTTTACCCTTTCCCATCTCCTGTGCAGCCCGCTTGTTTGTGTTGGTACAGAGTGTCTGTACTGTTAGTGCACTGAAGAACAGCTTGAACAGGTCAAGGGGTTTGTTTGATACTGTTGAGCTGAGCTGTGGCCCGGGTGTGCGAGCAGGTTGAAACCTGGAGACAGGGGGAGCAGTGTCAGGGTCTTCGCCTGTCTTCCAAGACAGTGGAGCTGGCTGCTGTGCAGGTGGGGGTGATGGTGCATGGGCAGCTGGTGGCTGTGTGGGAGGTAGTGTGCTCTACGAGACCTCTTTGCTGTCCGGGTTGATGGTGATGGCTGTGGTGGAGCTGAGGTGGATCTTGACCTCGTCGCAGGCAGAGATGGAGTCAGCTGTCGTGATGCTGGTCCGCTAGTGCTTGGTGGGGATGGCAGTGGTGAAGGCCCTTGATCCACGGTAGATCTCAACATGGTGGCAGGCACAGCTGGAGGCTCCTGGATACATGTCATCTGTGGGCAGCTAGGCCCAGGCAGCTGTGACACCTCTCTGTAAAACAAATAAAAATTGTGGGACAATAATTATTACGAAGTTCCCCACACACACACACACACACACACACACACACACACACACACACACACACACACACACACACACACACACACACACACACACACACACACACACACACACACACACACACACACACACACACACACACACACACACACACACACACACACACACACACACACACACACACACACACACACACACACACACACACAACACACACACAGTACTCCCCATTACTACATAGCACTCCCCACAAATGGCAGGCACACATATAAATAAATTAAATATCTCCGTTGTGGGACAAATAAAGGATTATCTCATGCATCTACACATGTAACCTTACTTATACACACCAAAATAACGTTTACACATAAAGTTTATCAAAGACACACATGTAAATAAGTCTATGACAAAGTCTCATCTGTACAGAACAGTATGATCAAATAAAATACATGTCTATAAATGTCTCCGTTGTCGGGACGAATAAAGGATTATTTTTATTCATCTACACATGTAACCTTACTTATACATGCCAAAATAACGTTTACACATAAATAACATTTACACAGAGTAAACGTTTACTAATCAAGAGTCTATTTTGTCCCGAGAAAAAGTTCATGAGGGGAAAATAAAAAGGTTGATAAATCCATTGTTCATTTTCGCGGTACTCCTCACAAAATGGCAAATGCACTACAAGTTATATTTACACTTACCCATCCACAAATGGATCCCTGCTGTCCCTGTATTCTTCTTCTTCAGAAGAGTCGAAGCCTTCAGGTTCTGATGAGCCATCTTCTTCACTGCCGCTCGCGAAAATAAAATCCAGCGCGTCCGCAACGGTAAAGTTCCTTCGAGCCATTTTCTCTATCTTCTTCACAGACTAAAAGACTGAAACTGATGGGAGACACAACTCCAGAGGTATGGAAGGGCTTTTCCATACTGTTGCAACAAAGTGAAGAGGTAAGTGTAGAGGTAAGTGGGCACTAATGGCTGAGTCCGGTTTTCCCCTTTCCTGTCCATCCTCAGCTATCCTATCTAATAAAGGCAAACATAGCTTAAAAGCACATTGTATGGCTAGCTGTTCTCCAACTTAGTAATTATAGAATTACATAATTGACTCAACAGAATACAGGGATTCAATTAACATTTCTGCCTTATACACAATAACTTAAAAAAAAGAAAATACATTTTCTTTGCTCAAACAAACCTTGTGGAATGATTTATGGAGCTGAAATATCCTGAAGCTCATCTCAGGATAACTATTAAATATACACTATATTTTAAAACTGCATCTAATGTGGCAAGAGTTATATTTTATATCTCCAATGCCTGCAAAATAGCAAATATTCTAAACAGAAGCTCAGCTGGAGACCCTGAATTGTGTCAAGACTTGAGGCGGAATAATTGTTCTGCTTCAGCATCTAGAGAGGATGCACGGAGAGGACAGTTTAGGGCGAGGCCCAGGCTGGAGACACAACCTGTCCACTTTCTGCCTGACTCCTGCTGACCCGTTGTGTTTGCAAATGGAACATTAAACAGCTATGGATCATTGGAGTCTGAACACTCCAGGACAGGAAGAGGTCAAAGCCAGAAGGTGACGAGCCATGTCTTGCTGTTTTGACACCTGCCACTGTGCTAATGTCTTCTCCGACAATATTGTTGCTTCAACACAACATTGAATTTATTTTATAATAGCACACCCAGCCTTGCCAGCCCGCCCCATCCTTTAATGAACGGCAATTGTCAGCTACAGAACATCTTAAACAAGGGCACAGTGATTACTGTCTTTGAAACAGAATTATAGTGCACACACATTGACAGTTGTATTGACTGATTTGGCTCTGGCAGTGCATAAAACAATATCAAGGAGCTTTATGAGCCTGAATAAACAGATGGTCTATTGATTAAACTTTCATGTAAATGTGCAAACAGAAAACTTGAAGGTAACTCTGAAATGAAACTCAGATACCTTGAAATAACCAAGGGAATTACCAGAAATGATAGAAGTCTAAAATGTGTGTGTGTTGTGCCCAAGGAAAATATCAACTAAGTTAAAAAGACATATGTCTGTTTATGGAAAAGCAATGTTGGGCAAGCTTATTTCAATGAGGTTTTACTGACCTTCGCTAAATGTCTGTTTCAGCCAGAAAGAGTGCCAATGTGGAAGATAACTGTTACATTAGAGTGTGTGACACAGCAAGTATTAAATGATGGAAAAGACCACTCACAAGGACAGAGATACTGACATACACACACATTTGGTGGTGAGATTGATTGCAAAACCTGATGGGCATGTCTATGCATAATAATAGCTGTGTAAACATAGGGATGTATGGTGTTTAGTGTCGTGACCCCCCCCTTTTTGTCCAGCGCCGTGTACCTGGTGTCAACAGAATGACGGAGGTGACGATCAGTGAGCAGATGATCAGAATAACAAGAAGGGCGATCGCTATTCCTTTCCAGTTCCTCTGCGGAGGGTTACTGCCCACCAGCTCCTGCAGGCACAGAGAGGAAAAGAAAATACATTATTATTATGGGAGCGAATGAGAGTACGATTTATGAAGAGAGATTTGGGTAAAAATTAAAGAACATTTTAACAAAAGGAGAACAACAATGGGACGTGAGAAGGAAGAGAGAAAAATATCTTAAGGTACTGCAGAAAAGGAAAATAATCGGAAGTAGTATAAATGGCAAAATAATGAAAGTGAACAATGGGGATGTCAGTCAAGGACGAACGTGAGCCAGTCACAGAATCAATGTTCTCAAGGAGGGATGCCAACTCCAGCAGCAGCACCACCAAGAGGAGGAGGGGGTAGAATTCTTAATGAGCCGAGCATCAGCGACCATCATCCCCGAACGAATGTGAAAGAAAAAATGACACCCACAACACATTGGTGAATTGCATGCTTGAAAAAAGCTTGGCAACAGAAGAGATAAGCTTTAAGGTTGGGAAAACAAGTCTGAGTTATGAGCAACCTTGAGGGTATTTTTTTTGTCTGACGGACTTATCCAGAAAAATAAACCTTATGCAGTTTAATATTGTTGTAAGTGAAAACTCATTTTACAGAAAGAATTTGGCAATAGACAATGTATCACTGCGAGATATAAAACAAATAAAATGGGAGAAAGCAGCTTTAAGCTTGTGTTCATGCAAAATCAAATCAAGTGCATGCCAAATGTATTTGACAAACGTTGATGTGCAATAGGTGGATAAGTTTAGTGAAAAGCATTTTTACAATTCCAGAAACTCCAGTGAGCAGCTGGATGTCTCTGGATGTCCACCAAACTTCTAGCATTTATTTGCAGCAGTTTCTCAGTTACTAGAAACAACATGAAATTGTATTTATCGGTAAAATACTCTAAATAGGGCAGTTGTTATGTTAGTACTTCTGATAGCAATAACTTTGTAGCAAACAACTGACTATATCCTGCTGCCATGTTTTATAAAGCTGTGTTTCTGATCACCTGACAAACAAAAATACATTTATTTTATTTGTTTAACAGACATGCATTACATTTATTTTTATTATAAAAAACTATGCAATCAGCACTATTGATTACTGTATTTTCAAAAGTAATAATTGGTCTTTGAACCGAAGGGTCGCTGGTTCAAAGACGAAAATAAAGAGTGTGGACTGGAGAGCCAGTTCACCTCCTGGGCCACTGTTGAGGTGCCCTTGAGCAAGACAATGTACCCCTAACTGCTTTGGACCTGCATGTGGTGCTCAAGTATATCAAGCAATGTGTATAATCTGATAAAAAAAAGGTATCAATGAAGTATATTATTTATTTTAATAAAGTATATCTTCTTCTTCTCCTGGATCTGACTTGCACATGGACAAACCAGCGACATCTGTCCTGGAAAGTCAAGAGCTCAAAAATACAGTGGAGGATTAATAAGTTCTTAATGAGTTTGTAATGGATTCAAACAATCAAAGCAGAGTACTGTATGTGCTTTAGGGACCTGTGGCTGGACCCATAATAAAAACTCATAGAGCTTTAATGAAGCTGAATGGTTGAGCTATGAAGCAAACCTTTTGGCGACCTTGTTCCCAACTTAATTGAAAATAACCCAAGACATCATTAGCCTGCAGATAATAGCAATCGGGGCTATTTACTAGACTGCTCATTACTCTATTCATTACAACAGTTAGTCAGCTGTATTGCCATATTGTAGAGCTGTGATAGCAAAAAGGAACACCACAAGTAAAATTGAGTTTACCAAAGGTCTTTCTAGGGCTTGAATTTGCCAACTGAAAGTTTTCTCAAAATAAATGTTTTTTTAAAAATAGAAAAACAGTAATGTCTGGGATCATTTGAGTACTTATTTTGTAATAGAGAAAAGTTTTTTTTTTAAACGTTTGATTGAAAAATTGGGGATCAATCAATCAGAGATCATCTGATAAAACATGTTGTAAAGGGTGATGAGCCGACTGTCCACAATGTATTTTTTATCTTTGCTGATAAATTCCTCGTGTACAGTCTTTGTTTTTCTAGTATCCTACTGGAAATGTATGAGAGATTGGTATAGAGCCCTCTGGTGATTTCTACTCAACATATGTGACTAAGTTGTATTCGTACGGAAAATGGTCAAAAAAGTAAAATAAAAAAACTGCTCTATTGAGAGCAACTACTTAAATGCAATAATGGGATGGAAAGTGAGCATGACAGAGTGCTCAATGAGAGTTGTGCACAATAAAAGATCTAAATAAATCCGTGCATATTTGGAAAAAACAGCCAAAAGTCAATCCGGACGGGCTTTAGCCAGACACATTTTGTCAAAGTGCTCATCCATGCAATTTTGTTTCATTTTAAGCAACAATAATCATCACCAACCTTTTCAAATAAAGATATCTTTAAATGTACTCAACCTTTATTCAGAGTCTCCGGAGGAAATAAAAAAACCTTTGTACTTTGGTAGAAAAGATAGTCTGCACTGTCAGATTTAAACATTTCTAGAAGTATGAAAATGTTTTTGTAGTTAGGGTTAATATTCAGCTCAGCTCTGCTTCTGTAGAACAAGCAACCACACACACTCACACATACAGATGATGCAAGTCTGCAAAGTGCTTCTTGTTTTCTTTCCACATTCTGCAACAGTAACAGCATGCTCAGGCATGCTAAAAGATCTATTCCATTCTTAAAATGATTAGGGATTCAGTATCAAACAGCATTTCCATATAGCTCAGCATCTCTGGGGGAACATAATACCATATCCGAAAAAATACAGATCCACAGAAGCTCCCTCTCAGAGAGAGAGCGAATAGCATAAATGTGAGGATCCACACCTTGCTGGGGTGAAAGCATAATAATTGGACCCCAAATGATTAAGCAGACCAAAACCTCATCAAGAAATTATGTTATTTATTTTCTATCCCTGAGCTTGAAGGGCATAATGGTAATCATTTATTCAGTGTTGGTAAGGGCACAGATGCAGGCTGAAAACATTGCCAAACCATCCTGATCACGACCCTCTGATCTGTAATTATAATAATGATTGGACTAATTAGCTAGAAATAAAAAGTGACTTTAGCAGAAGAGCAACGAGGAAAAGTAAATAAATAACATGTTGGTAGGCTGCAGGAATATTACATGTTACTTGTTAGACGCTTTTATCCAAAGCGACTTAATACTCAATACTGTGGGCAATCCCCACAGGAGAATTTGGGGTGAAGTGTCTTGCCAAGGGACACGCTGACTGCAGTGGAGTTTGAACCTGTGCTCACCTGATCTGAACACCAATGCACTAGTCCACTGCGCCACACACCTCCACTGACAGGAAAGCTTGAAGCTTGACCAAAACATGAAAGAGAGAGCAATACAGTTTGGGATACTGTAGATGGATATAGGTCCAAACTGGAAAAAAACAAAAATCTGTTGTTTACTGGTCCTTAGCAGCTGTCATGTTTGTGTTTGCAGAGCATGCACAGGAATCATCAGTGCTGATTCCCGAGAGTGTGAAAGGCAACACTGTGCCAATGCCTCCAAAAGTCAACACCAGCAAAAGTTAGTCCTACACTTTCCCCTTTTTTTTCCTTTGGCCATAGAAAATGCTTAAAGTATTGGGTGTTGGATTCAGATGCAAGACATCGCAAATTCATGATCCTGTAGGTCCACTTATCTAACAATGTTAATCATTGTTTTATTGTTAGATTGCCACCATCACCAACATTCCATCATCTCAGGAATATTTAAAAGAACATGATGATTTTCACATATTGTACACAACAAGGATATACTGTATGTGCTTTATATGAATATACTTTGATATGGAAAGGGAAACAATGCAAGTGCTATTCCCTACTTTACCTTTGCAATTTATTTGCCTGTTGTTTGATTATATTGTCTTTATAACTGTATAACCACAATGCCACAATTCTAGAAATGTAGCAGTTGATACCAATATCTTTGAAATTATATAATCGGTTTTCAAACATATCCACTGCCGACCTGTTCAATACAGAATTTACTTTAAGATCCCTATCCATAAAACTCTGGACTCAAATGATATATATGGCGTACCTCCAGTTTATCAATCAGAATCAATTATTGGTTCAATAGAATAAAGCACGGGACAGCTAAAATAATTATTTGGGATTTGAATAAACACTATTAATTATTATTGGTTAATAATGATTATTAACGGGGTGATAATCAAAAAACAAGTTTGCTTGATTAAGATTTGTTGGTGTACTTTCTAGCTTTATTCTTGCTTTGACTGATACAAATAACAGGGTTCATACACTTTTTCACCAATGATTTTCAATGACTTTTCAGTGACTTCTCCATTATCTTTACCTAATTTTCCATGACTGAAAAAATTACTCTTTCTCAGCGGTACCACTGAAAATTGTTTATTTTAACATGGAACAGGAAAATAAGGTCAGCAAGCATATGAAACATGTTGTGCCTATCTAAAACAAATCAAATAGTAGGCTAAAGCAACTGTAGTCAGGGATGCAAAATCAGGTATGAAAAAGGTGATCCGAGCCCCCGAGTCCCCGACCCCCCCACCCCACGGAATATCGGCTTTAAAATTAGGAATAACAGAGGATTTTAGCAATCAGAACAACTAAAGCAGCAGTGTTAATAATAACAGAAACGCTAAAGAGTCACATCTAATAGAAATATATAAAAGCATTTATTTTAATTGTGTAGCAGTCAGTTTATAATTTTGGCAGCACTGTTGAGCATTTTGAAAATGTATTTTCATGCCTCTGTGCAAGGCTTAGTCTTTCTATCTTCATAGCCAGCGGTGTAAAGTAACCAAGTTCATAAACTCAAGTATACTTGGGTAAAATGTTGACATACTTTTGACTTTACTTAAAGGGGACCTATCATGCAAAGTGCACTTTTGTACCTCTTTTATACATGAATATGTGTCCCCGGTGTGTCAGGGAACTCACCAAGTGTCAGAAAACACAACCCTCTCTTTTCCTCCATACCCAAATCTCTAAAAACGGGGCTGCAACAGATCTAATACAGACTGATGCAG